AGCAGTGGCTCAGTCAGGCTTGGTGAGTAGAAGCCCCTGATATTGGATCTGGGCAGAGCCTCTATCTCTGCCGCCCACTACTCCTGCTACAAGCCGTGATGCCACCACTGGGATGAAAGCGCCTGTTGAATCAACTGGCTCAATTGTTCTTTTGGTTTTTGTTGCTTCTTCTGTGTTGGATGCTGTCAGAAGGAAGCATTAACGTACAATACAAAGATCTTCATACTTTGTGTCCCCTCCCATAGGTCCATCCACATGCCTCTTCCCCCAAATCCTGTCTTCCACCTTCTAATCTTTTTCCTTTTAGGTCCCTAACCAACCAGTGAACCATTGTCCACTCTTTGAGTCTTTGTATATTCTTATCTTGGGCCACTTTTCCATGTAAAGTGGGTAACCAGCTGTGCCACCTGCAGCGTACTCACTGGAACCATGGCTCCTCATCAGTGTCTTCTAGAGCCATCCCTGGGTGCGGCTGCAATGCATCATTTTCACCACGTACATACTACAAGCCAAATCATCCACGAAGCAAGCTCATCCTTAATCCTCCTCCAAAAGCCTCCTTGTAGCCGTGTGCATGAGCCAGTGGAGAAGTAGAACATTATGTGCTGGTGCAGCAGTGGAAATGATGGGCTCTGGGTGTCCTGTTTGTGCAGCTGACTTGTGCCCTCTGGCCTTGCGCATGTCCAATGCTGGTGTATCTCTTACGTCCTACAGTGGATTGCTCTTGAGCTTCGTGACCTTATGACTTGGTGAATCTGGCAGGTCCCAGTTCATAATGGGCAGTTCTTGATACATGGTCATTTGATGTCCCATGGTTAGAAGCTCCATCTCTGCCAGGGTGTAGCATCTAGGAGCTGATTTCAAATGGTGTGTGGTTCTTCACTACAGATGGCGTGGCCTTGCTGCAGAACCCTAGCAGTCTCCGTTGTGATCTCCTACTGGGAGTCCACTGTAACTTCCCCTGGCTTCTCTGTACACTGAGGATGCCTTTAGTACCATAGTTTACAGGGAGGTGTGGCCCACGTGGTGGAGGGCTGTTTACCCTGCTGCCTGTATTTATTGCAGAGCTCGTTTTCGGTCTGGCCCCTCACAGACCTGGCATCCTTTTATATTGCTGGGTAAATGGCTCTGAGCATTATTCCCAAGTGTGGAATATGCTGCGTCTAGAACCTGAAGAGGCCTATCAGGCAGTGTGCTTCCTTCTTAGTGGTGAGAGGTACGAGAAGCCGTAAGTTGATCTTTACTTTGGAGAGGCTGTCCCAGAGCTCCAGGTCACTTGACCCCTAAACACCTCCCTGATGTGGTGTGCTCCTCAAAATTCATGAGGTTTATCTTTTACCCCCTGGGGTGCATATATCTACCAGGGCCTCCAGTGTACTTGCCCTTTAGCGCTCACCAGGTGACAGCAGCAACATGGCATTGATGTAGTGGACCAATGAGATTATACAGAACATCCAAACAGTCTGGTTTTCTTTGAATATCTTATGACAGGATGGGGGAGTTAACACGGCCCTGAGGCAGGTGGTGAGGCGCACTCTGGTCTGTCCTGTGCGGCCGCAAGCTGCTTCTCATCCTCCTTGCTCTGTGGATGGCAGAGAATGCACTCGCCAGGCCTGTGGCCCCGTCCAGACACCTGAGGCTCTGCTTATACGCTTCAGCAGACTTCCCACATCTGCCACAGCCGGTACAGCGGGGCTTCTACTTGGTTGAGTTTGTGGTGCTCTGCTACCATCTGCCAGAATCCATTTGGATTTTGTGAAGGCCAGACTCAGTGGAGATATGATGGGACCGTCAGCTCTATTATTAGTCAGGGTTCTCCAGAGAAACAGGACCAATAGGATATATAGAGAAAGATTTATTTTAGGGAATTAACTCACAGAGTTGTGAGGGTTAGCAAGTTTGAAATTTGCAGGGCAAGCCAGCAGGCCGGAGACCCAGGGAAGAGTGTGTTGTACTCTTGAGCCCGAGGGCAATCTGGAGGCAGACTTCCTTCTTCCCCAGGAAACTTTAGTCTTTTTTCATAAGGCCTTCAACTGACTGGATGAGGCCCATCCATATTAACGGGGGTCATCTGCTACTCAAAGTCTACTGACTTAAAAAGATACCTTTACAGTAACATCGGGACTAAAGTTTAACCAAGCAACTGGGCCCTATAGCCTAGCCAAGTTGACATACAAAATTAAACATCACACCCCTGCATCCTTCAGGTCTATAGGTGGCATTAATCTCTGCCATCCCTCCCGTGATGTGGTTTTGTTTTTTTCATTACTCTTTTGGCCAGGGGTGAGAACGGCAGCTTCAGAGGCTTCCACTTCGCCTTCTACACTATGATAGCTCCAAAATGCTGTCTGAGAATGTGCTTTCTAGGACCACTCTTAGTACCAATCGTGTAGGATCAGGATTGGGGAAATTAGAAACAAAGATTCCATCTGATCCTGTGATGGCACTGTGGAGCTCGATGGCCCTTCCTAGCTGTCCCCACTTGGGGCAAAGAGACCAGGCCTTTGTACTCCTGCATTTTCCAGTCTTTGGATACAGGCAGCTCCCTTTGCCTAAGGACAGTTCTGGGGGGGACTCTGAGAGAGGGAGTCAGCCAACTTTCCCAGCAGCTGGCAGAATGAGTACATTGCCCCAAAGCCAGGATCTGGTCGGTGCAACACAGCATCCACTATCATATGCCCATATCTGCTTTTTAAAATCATCAGCCTTATTGAGATATAATTTACATACCGTAAAATTCGGTGGTTTTTAGTCTATTTACAGAGTTGTGCAACCATCACCACAATCTAGTCTTACAACATTTTCATCACTCCAAAAAGAAACCCCATGCCCAGTAGCAGTACCTAGCTTCCCCTCCCAGCAGGCAGCCACTAATCTACTTTCTGACTCCGTGGATTTGCCTCTTCTAGATACTTCCTGTAAATGGAATCATAGAACATGTGGTCTTTTCCATGTCTGCTTTTAAAATGCAATTTGACTCATAATTTAACTGAATGCTTTCACTTTTGTGTTTTAATGAGAATTGAAGAGTAAGGATAATGAGAATTTTGCAGTTTATTTGAACATGTCACCTAATATTTTGTCTTTAAACACATGCTTTCAAACAAAAACTCCAGTGCATTCTTTTCCTCAAGAGAAAGCAGTGGCAAATACTATTTTCTAATTCCTCATATTACTCAGCCATTTTGGCATCTCTAAAATTCCTGGAAGTTTCATAGGTAAAGCCTTGAAATATAAGATCCTAGTGACTAATCTTAATACTTGACCCCAAAATGTGAGTCTATAAATGTCATTTCTATCATATTTTACAGAAATATTCACATTTTTTGTCATTTATCTAGCCAAAGCTAAGTAGAGGTTGAATCCTGTGAATTTAGGACCATCTCAATGATAAATATGAAATATTTAGGTTAAAAAAACCTTCCCCTTATTGGAGCCACTAAATAATAGGATTTTCTTCTTTTTTGCATAGATTTTATAGATAAAACTAGAAAATCTAGACATTGGCATATACTCAGTAAATATTTGTTGAATGAAAAAATGGTAGAATGAATGAATTCTAATTATTAAGAAAGTTGGTCATATCTGGAAAATCCAAATCTAAAATTTAATACATTCATTTATCTAATTTTTTTTCTTACTGTTCTCTTAAAGTTAAAACCTAAACTCTTGTTGAAAGAATACAAGACAGATTCTTACTGGGAGAATAATGTGATGAGCTGCTGAGGGCAGTGGTACTGGTTTTCACCTTGGCAGGGAGTTGATGTTTACATGATTTTGGAAAAATTGAGTTCCATGACGTAAAATATATTAGACTAGGAGTTAGGGAAGCCGGGTGTGGGCTTATCTCTGTGGATAACTTTTGATTCACAGGTTTCCAAGTAAAGTCTAATGCATAGTTTTATATATGTTTTATTTCTGTATTTTTCTTTAAATTTGATGTATTTTAGAATACACTGGGAACAAAACCATTGATATAACTTACTGCTGTTTAAGAAATAATGACAACTAAGCTTTATTGGTGCAGTTATTCATCCTCTTATTCAACCGATGTTTTTTGAGTACTTACCATGTGCCAGGGGATTAAAAGTGAATAAAGATTAGTCTCTGTCATCAGTTTATTCCTACAGTTTATGAAATACAGCATGGTACATAAAAGGCCCTACAGACAGGAGACACGAATTTAGATCCCACTCTCTGATTGGCTGCATGTTACTGGCTAAGTTACTTTGTGCCCCTGTGTTTAAAATGAGTACTTGGGGAACTTCCCTGGTGGCGCAGAGGTTAAGAATCTGCCTGCCAATGCAGGGGACATGGGTTCAAGCCCTGGTCTGGGAAGATCCCACATGCCGTGGAGCAACTAAGCCTGGGTGCCACAACTACTCAGCCTGCGCCCTAGAGCCCGTGAGGCACAACTGCAGAGCCCACATGTCACAACTACTGAAGCCCATGCGCCTAGAGCCCGTGCTCCACAACAAGAGAAGCCACTGCAATGAGAAGCCCACGCACCGCAACGAAGAGTAGCCCCCGCTCTCTGCAACTAGAGAAAGCCCGCGCATAGCAACGAAGACCCAACACAGCCAAAAATAAATAAATAAATAAATAAATAAAATTTAAATAAATAAATAAAAGAAAAGGAGTACTTGGGTGCGCCGGTGTGTGGATGAATTTTAGCTGAAATTTTACTTTCTTTAACTACCGGATTTAGAACAAATAGAAATTTTAAAACTGAGAGTCAAAAATTGATTCTTGAAAGAAATTTCTATTCTTAAGTACAAATAGAATATCATAGGAAAAGAATTAACTTGTTCGAAGGAACTTAGAATCCTTAACACCTAGGCATTCAGTTTCAGAAAGGAGACAGTCTCCTTAGCACCTGCCTAGTCTACTAGGTGTGAGTTCATATACGTTTGTGTGGTTTTAAGGAGAAGCTGTGTGCTTTGAATATTTATAGAATTCAAAGCACTTTCCATAGACATCATCTTTTTTTTTTTCCTTAGATCGACAAAAGCCCAGAAGGACAGTTCACTCAGCTAATGACATTGCCCAAAACCTTACAGCAACAAATAAATCATATTGTGGACCCGCCTGGAAAAAACAGAGATGTGGAAGAAACTTTATTACAAGTGGCTCATGACCCCGACTGTGGAGACGTGGTGCGTCTAGGTACGTGCATGAATCTGACGGGGAGGAAGTGTTGGCTGGAGGGGGTTGGGGGGAGCAAACTTTGTGGCTGAGATGGGTTCTCTGTTGTTCCTTGCCTAGTGAGATGGAGAGAGAGATTTCCTCTCAGAATAAGAAAGCACTAACAGTCTGGGGGTTTTCCCATCCTGAATTCTTGTTTGTTAGAAGTAGGGTGCTGAAAGTACTTCTGTGTTCAGATCCCTAGGTCTTAAATCACTGACAGAGCGGGAAACAATGATTCTTTTGGTCCCAAAGGCATAACGTTTAGAAGTTATTTCAAAAGACATGTGTTTGTTCCTCATGGTGGTCTGAGGAGGATGGAGACTGGTGATTTTTTTTGTTTTGTTTTGTTTTTTTTGCGGTACGCGGGCCTCTCACTGCTGTGGCCTCTCCCGTTGCGGAGCACAGGCTCCGGACGCGCAGGCTCAGCGGCCATGGCTCACGGGCCCCGCCGCTCCGCGGCATGTGGGATCTTCCCGGACTGGGGCACGAACCCGTGTCCCCTGCATCAGCAGGCGGACTCTCAACCACTGCACCACCAGGGAAGCCTGAGACTGGTAATATTTTTAATGCTTTTATAACATCAAGAATACCACTCTTCTCGGCCGACGCCCCCTCGGTGTGGCTCCTGTGTGCACAGTAGGTCTGCTCCAACATGGCCCCTGTTCCTCACGTCATCCCCAATGTGGACCAAAAATCTGAGCCTGATCTTCAGAGACTTGCTGCCTTTTGAGGTGTTACAGGTAATTTACAAGGTCAGTCAGTAAGTAAGGAAATCATGAAATTGAAAATGATGCCCTCCCTCAGATGAGCGCAACGTTTACTGTTGAGTACGTATTTGCTGAGCTTCCCCAAGGAGCAGCCCGGCCACCTGGCAGGATGCAAGTCACAGTGACGGTGTCACATGGAGAGACCTGCCCGTCGGGCAGAGCGGAGCATGTGCCTAGGGCGCCGGGTACCTCTTCTGAAGATACATGTGGAGGCATGTCTTTTCTGGTCATGGTGTGAGTTCTTCTGCCTTTCTGAGGGCCTGAAGGACTGTCCCCCTGTCCTCACCGAGGAGTCCTCTGAGTGATTTCAGAATAAGTTTTCCTCCTAGGCAGAAACATTTGGTGTTTTTTTTCCGCAATCTTTTCACATCTTGGAATTGAGAACCAGCAGACTTAAGCAGATTTAAAGTGAAAAAAATGACCTTCAAGGGTCACCTAACCCACTGGTTGTAAGATGAGGCGTCCCAGACCCAGAATGGGGCGGTCATTTGCTTGTGTTCACACAGCTGGTCAGCGACACAGCTGGTCGTTGACACAGCTGGCAGCTCCAGTCTCCTGGACCTCGATCCTGATACTCTTCACTGTCACTCTGACACCAGAGATAGATTTGCTGGTTTTATTGGATAGCTGGAAAGAATATTTAGTTTCAAGTTTTAAAAGTGTTAGGATGACTCACATCTGGCTTTTTTGGCATTGTTATTGTTTTTTTCTCACAGGGCTCTCAGCAATCGTGAGACCTTCCAGTATGAGACAGAGCACCAAAGGCATTTTCACTGCTGGTAAGAATTGTTAAAAATCCGCACTTAACGTACCTGCTGGATTGAGCAGCCTCAATGCTCCTGGTTAAAATGTAAAGCCTTATCTGTATCCTGCAAGTACTTGTGAAATGCTGAATTTTGATGGTCATAACCTAGGACACGGCAGTAACATATAGACAGGCAGATGGCGCTGTAATCCGGAGTCTGAGGTGCTGCTGAGAGGATTTGCTGCCCCTCTGCGTTTTCCCAGTTACTCCTTATGTGTAGGTTTCCCCTTGCGTTTTTATATCTGTAGGAGTTACACATGATATTGTGTCAAAAACAGCAGTACCTTGCCCTCCCCGCCCCGGCGAGTGTTCCTCTCCAGAGACAACCACTGCTGACTCTCCTGGTGGGTTATTTTTGTTTTCACTGCTGTTTCTCTGGATAATGAGCTTATGTTGCTGCTTCTTTCCTTTTAATTTTAGGCATCATCTGTGGACTTCTCACTCTAGCAGATTAGAATTCAACTGCCCCCACCAACGCGCACACACACACACACACCCCCCGCACCCATCCCTCTGTGTTCCAAATATGGTTGTGCCGTAGCTTTAGCGAAGCCAATCTTGAGTTTCCATTGTCTGACTGTGTTACTGTGATTCATAGCTGAGCCATGTGATACACTTTTCCTTGCCTGCACAGCTTTCTTTTCCCACAGAGGCTGTCGTCACCTGTCTCGTGTGAGGAACCCTGTTTCCTGTATCTGGTGTCTTTGATTTTTGTGGCGCACAGCCTCATTTTGGTGAAGCACACCATCCGGGAACTTTGTGGGAAAGGGGGCAGAGGAGTCAGATTTGGAGCCCATGTGTGGCCAAGTGTATCTTTAGTCCACCCTCACGCCTGACTGAGGCTTAGACTGGAGATGCTTAGAAATAGTTGTCCTTTAGAATTTTGATACCGTTGCTCCAATTATCTTCTCACTTCTAGGAAGTTCTTATTCTTAATCCTTTGTGTGTGTTCTTTGTGGAAGCCTTTTAGGTCTTCTTTTAACCCCAGGGCTCTGAAGTTTCTCAGTGGTGTGTTTCGATGTGAGTCTGTTTTTATCTGTTACACTGAATGCTCATTACCCTTCAGTTTGGAAACTCAGAGTATAAGAATATAAGAAAAATTTATTGTATTCGTTCTTCCCATCTGTTTTCTCTTCTTTTTCTGGAACTCCTTTTATTCAAACATTGGACCTCCTAGATTGGTCCTTTGGTTTTCTTTCTTTCGTGTCCTTTTTTTTGACCTCTTTGTCCTTTTGCTTTACTTTCTCCACTTTAGTTTCTATTGAGTTGTTTTATTTTTGTTATTTTAATTTCTAGGAGCTCTTCTCTTTTTTCGTTCTCTGACTATTCCGTTTTTTAAAAAAATTTAAAACATCCTGTTCTTGTGTTATGGGCTTAAACATTTGACCATACCTTTGGATACTGCCAAGTTGCCAAAGTGGTTTATCATTTTATCATCCCACTAGGAGTAAACGAAAGTTCTTGTTTCTCACCATTCTTTCCAACACTTGGTATTGTCTGATGATGGATTTTTCCAGTTCAGTCTCTCTTTATGCAGCTGTCTACTGAGCATCCCTTATGTGCTCGCCATGCAGGATACAGGGTGAACCCTGTACCGTCCTGCTTTCAGAGGCTTCATCATCTAGAAGGGGAGACAGACACATAAATAGAAGATTGCAGCACTAGGGATAAATGGCATAGAGGGAACCTGAAGATGGGAGTGGTCTTTCAGCCTGATTCTGATCCCTGGCTTGAGATAGCCAGGGAGCTGCACGATCACACCTCTTAACGTCTCGCTCTGGTTGCCTGGGGACACAGCCAAGTGTTGCCCTCCTGAATCTTTGGAAAGATTCAGCCCGTCAACAAAGGTTTAGTAGCACGTGTGCCAAACCTACTCAGCTGAAGATTGTCCTCCCACTCGGATGCATAGCTTTGCATTTCCAATTAAGGTATTTATTTAATCCGTTTTCTTGCTGATTTATCCTGGCGAGGCTGAAGATGAGGTGCTTTTGTTTGCTTGGGTGGCTCAGGCTATTAATCTGTTTTGCATGATTGCAGCTCCCTCATCATAATCCTTGGGTGAGGCTGGATGCTTTGGCTCTTTTTATTTTTGGCTTCCTATGCTATAAGCAACTACTAGATTTATTGATTTTTTTTTAGTTGTGATAATGGTGGTGTTATGGGGTTAAAAAAATCATTTTCTTGTAGAAGTACATTCTAAAATATTTACAGATGAAATGACAGGATGTCTGAGAATTGCTTCAAAAGAAAACATGTTGGAGGGAATTGGGTAAGGGTGAGGATGACTCGAGATTGGCTGTGAGTTGATACATTGTTGAAGCTGGTGAACATACATGGGAACATATTATGCCGTTCTTGTATAAGCTTGAATTCATCTCTAATAAAAGGTTTTTAAAAATCCACCCTCATCATCTCTATTTTTTTTTTCTTTTTGTTTTTGGCTGCATTGGGTGTTTGTTGCTGTGCACGGGCTTTCTCTAGCTGTGGCGAGCAGGGGCTACTCTTTGTTGCAGTGTGCGGGCTTCTCAATGCGGTGGCTTCTCCTGTTGCGGAGCACGGGCTCTAGGCATGCGGGCTTCAGTAGTTGTGGTGTGCGGGCTCAGTAGTTGTGGTGCATGGGCTTCGTTGCTCTGAGGCACGTGGAATCTTCCTGGACCAGGGCTCAAACCCATGTCCCCTGCATTGGCAGGCGGATTCTTAACCACTGCGCCACCAGGGAAGTTCCATCCACCCTCATCATCTCTTGACACGGCAACCGGAAATGGATCTTTGGTCCTCTTTCCTCTTGTTCTTCCTGGTTGCCAGCAGAGGGCAGTGGGTATCATCTCATGGAACCCGCAGCCCAGATTTCCTTGTGGCGGTGGAGTGCCCAGTGCTGCCTCCTCTGAGTGCTCACTAATTTTCTCCCTTCCCCTCTAAAGATGCCTCATTGGATTGTGGAACCAGAGGGACAGAATGTCTGCAGCCTGCTCTGAGGTTGCAGGAATTGTGGAAGGTGATGCACATTCCTTCAGATTTCGCTGGGCCTGCTTACCCTGTGCTCTGGTTTCTCTGGTTTATGGTGGTTGAGGGCTGTGATGAAGGTGGCCCAGGCCAAGGGCAGGGGTTTGTGAGCCTCAGAGATTAGGGTTCGAACTCCAGCTTAACTACGGTGACTTGGGTAAGTTACCTAATTTTTCTTAGTTTTAATTTCATAGGGATAATTATGCCTGCCTCACTGGGTTGTGAAAATTATATCTTAAGACATATAAGAGCACCAGCACTGTGCCTGGTCTTTCCTCTTTGGTATCATTACCTAAAAGCTTCCTGCCGTCTCTTTAGAACATGCCTCCTTGCATTTTCCTATTCAACTAGCAGTAGCCCCGTCACTAGGTCTCCAGCTGGAGTAAACTAGCAACCATAGGCCCTGAGTGGCTGGTTTACTCTTTCTCTGTCCTCTAACTTCACAGCAAGCTTTAGAACCTCTCTCCTCCTGTGCTGCTCTTTAGAAGTCCTCTGGATGTGGTCATAATTGCTGTTGTTCTGCCTGGCTTGTGCTGGGTGCATCTTCCTGAAATCTCCCAAGTTCTACCTCTGGTCAGGTTTTCAGCCAGCTGATGTATCACCTGCCGAGTGAGAAAATCCCAGGTTATTCGGTTGCACTTTTCCTCCTTTGTAGCCCTTATCACTCCTCCCCTCTGCAACCAGCCACTCATAGTAGGGGTAAAAAGGAAGGGTCTCCTTAGCTAGTGAGTAACTTTTATATTCAAATATTGTTAAATTCAGAGAGAGCGAAGCTAAGATTGTGATAAGGCCTTGGCTCAAAGTTGTAGTTCACGTCTTCGCTCTGTAACCTTGGTATGTTAACAGCCCTTCTTCCTTGAAATGGAGGGGATACTAATACCCAACTCGTAGCATGTTGTGAGAGTGTCCAGTTTGTACCCAGTACCTAGTAGGTGCTTTGTAAACTTGAGTGAGTCTAGATCTAAGTATCAGTCTCTTCCTGGAAGAGACGGAAGCCAGGCTCTATGTCAGCCCAAGGGGTTGCCCTTTCTAATGAACTGTGTTGGGTGACACGGCAGGTGTCCTCGTGTGGTCTGACACTCTGTCTGTGTTAGTTCCCTGAAATTCCCCTAGCGTCAGATACACCCATGTTCCAAGCTGAGTACAGATCTACTTCCAAAAGCAAACGCTGTTTTTCCCTTTAGCCTGGGAGTCGGTTATTGGGAAGATAATACTGACTTCTTAGACTGTGCTGTTAATGGAGCAGCCCTGTTTTTATCAGGGTCTCGGGAGAGCAGGAGACTGTTTAGCCTCCTGGTCCTTGCCTGCGCCGCCCTGCAGGGCAGCAGCACACTGCGTCACGGCTCAGCCCGGGCAAGCAAACATCATGTTCTGATCAGCCACAGCCGTTTATGTGTCTAACCTGAATGAGTAGAGAGGAGTGGAACTCTTTGCATCTTTGGGGTACGGCGGGGGAGAGCTTGGAGAGAAATGGGTCAGGGGCTTAGCAGTTAGACTGAGAAGCAAGCAGGAGCCAGACAGGGGAAGGCCTGTAAAAGCCTGAAGGGGAATCCAGAGTTTCACTGAGGGGAGAGGGAAGCCGCCGAAGGATTGTCGAAAGACTGCTGTAGCGAGAGGATAGAGAGCAGCTTGGAGGGAGGTGACGCTGTTGCTTGGGAAACTGATCCGCTGGCTGCAGCCCACCAGGTAAGGAGGCCTGGCTGCCCTGACTCAGGGTTTTGCAGGAGGGGCAGAGGAGAGATGCAGGCAGTACTTGGAAGGTGCATCCCCAGGTCTTGGTGATGAAGCAGAGAGGAGTCAGAGAAGCTCCCAGGTTTCTGGCATGGGGAGCGGAGGCGGAGGTGCCTTTCCTGGGGTGAGGGAACGTGGGGGAGGATGACAAGTTTAATCTTTGAAATGTTGCTTTATTTTTCCCCACCTGACTTTCTGGTCAATCAGAATTCGCTTTGGGGTCAAATACCTATTTACCTCTGTAGTTTCAAAAGCTTCAACTTAAATTAGACAGGTTTAGTCTTGTTCCTAAAAAGATTCCGGCACACCTCGGCCGCTCCTTACCAGCCCTTTCCTGAAAGTGATAGAATGTATCATTGATTATCCTCTCATTCTCATCTCTTATAACTGAAACATTTTATCCCCATTTTTTGGTACCTACATGTTTCAATAAGAAGAACACATGGTAATAAAGATTTTTCTGGTGATGTATTTATCACTTAAACCTGAAACTTTTAAAAATAAAACTGCCTCAGAAAAGATTTTCTTTGTAGATATAGCTAACTGTGGTTGGAAATTAATTGGAAGAATGTTTGGGGCTCGCTGATTTTCTCTCCTAAAAATCTGAAATATAGGATTATGGGAAGGTAGAGACCTCTCACAACCTGGTCTCATCTCTGCCTCACATTGTTTCCTGGAGAATTTTGTGTGTCACTGGACCTATCAGCTTAAGGTCACACAGGGAATTCATAGTATTACATATGTAGTGATTTTGCTGTAGGTAACATGAAACATGCTGGAAATCAACAGAAGTAAAACCTTAGGAGCCATATATTAGAGTAGATTTCCGTTTGCTTCCAAAACAAAATCCTGACTTTGGTTACTAATCAGTGTTCATAACGACCAGCTTTAGGTAAATAAGGATCTGCCTAAACAGGATGTCACTAAGGAGATGTTTGCACCTTTTTCCACTGGGGAAGGAGCATAGTCAACAATGATGGTTCTTAGAGTACAGTTTCTCTCTTAGCAGGCTGTCTTCCTTCAAGTCGCATTCTAAATGCAGACCTCCTAAGTCACCATCGTCTTTAGAAAGGAAGCAGAAACCACACAAAAGCTCAGTGTCGGCCAAGTAGAAGTCTGTGGATTATAAACTCTGTGAGGGCAGAGACCAGGGCTGTTGTTCATACCGGTGTCCCGAACAACTAGCTCCGTGTCCCGTATGTGTTGGTGCCCAAGAAATGCCTGTTCAGTGTATTTCAGTGACTGAATAAATGGAAGATTATGAATTTTCTGGTAGTAGGG